CAAACATGGTGTGCTTATAAAGAGGTTTTTATATGATGTGCTTATAGAGGGGGTGACTATAAAGAGGGTTGACTGTATATGATTAAGTATCAAAAGGAATTCGCAATAATTTTATTTCCTTGGATAAGAACAAATCCTTGGATTATTAGATCAATTATTTCAAACAATGTATCGAACCGAACAACAAACTACAACATGAGGTTTTGATGATGAGAGAAGCGCTACTTATATAAGACTTTTGCCACCAAAATTAGGGACGAAAAATTACTAGTTTTGGTCTCGTCCCGCCACCAAAAAGAGTGACGAAAACTTACTAAGTTTAGCTATTGTTTGTATCTTGTTACTGCCACCAATTTCCGTACTCTAGTGTACAGTACTAAAATTAGATCGCTGCGGGTAGTATTTTGACTGCGGAGGAAGATTTTATCACCTGACTTGCTCGACTGCATCAGCAGACCGACTCGTCGTAACATTATCTTTTCTCACGTCGATCTCCCTCGACGTAGAAACGTTAGATAAGGTATCAATTGCTTGATCAGACGTACCTGAATTATTTAGAAACATCGCAATATCCTTTTTCAATGAACTGATATGTTTGTTTCCAATCCCCGCAAGAAAATAACATAAGAACGAGAGGCCTTTCTGCCGTGTGTGGTACATCTACCACTCGGATTAATTAACTTCTCGAGGTTGAGGAATGGTTTAAGGCCAATATCCTTTGACTCCAACTCCAGCCGAAGTAACTTCCAATCATATATTGGTACCTTTTTTTCTTTCTTTTCTCTTGTATAAAAAATGCGCCATCGATCTACACATTCAATAAAATCAATCTCTATCGTCACTTACCTCTGATGTCTCCATTATTAACTCTTGTTGACCATCATAACGATTAACTTGCTCTGTCATTGCATCCATCGTCGCTTTGAAGAAACTGCATTCTTAGATGTCTCAGAACCTTTAGCAGTACCGCGTACAATGTAACTCATGTAGAAGCTAAAGTTCCATGCTGCATAGCTTTATGATAAGCGTCTTCAGTAATCTTTGGAACCTTACTTCAACCCCTTCTGCTCCACAAATAACACATGGACCAACAAGCTTCTTCGGGTGCGTGCATTTGAAATTTCCATTCTGTCGTTTAAGATTGTCGAAATCGCTTGTTCTAACTTGCGTGATCAACTGGATCTCTTCGTTTATAACGCTGTAACAGTTGTATAAAATTGGGGGTTTTTTATTGTCACAAAGTTTTTACATTCTTCAAACTGTATAAAAATTTCGTATACAAGTGGCTCTCGATATAAGAAAGTGATCGGGGCCCGACAAATTCCTTTCTTATAGTCATTTGTTATAAGATTTTAAATCGGGTCCAGCAAAAATACTTTCTATCGAAATTTTCTTATATCGAGAGCCACTTGTATATAATGTTACACAAATAAATTCCAGCCAATCATGCAAATGTCCGGGATGCTCCTCAGTTCGGGACTGAGATAACTGAGTTCTGGACCGAGACAACGGAAATGTCTGAGTTCCGGACTGAGATGACTGAGTTCTAGACTAAGATGGTCTCGAACTGAGGTACAACAATTATATCCCCGGTGGACTACAACTACAGGACAGAAAAAACAGTCAACGACTTACCAAAGCATATTGCGGTGAACTCTGTCCCACAACTGTTGTCATCGATAGGATTGCCTTCTCTAGTCTTTAGTCCATAGAAATCTTTTCCTAATTGCTCTTCACAGAATGCTCTTGTGCAATTTTGCACATTCACTGTTTGCGTTCGTCTGACTTGAAGGTATTATTTGTGGCGGTTTACCAATGCAAGAACGGAAAAAAATAACAAGGAAGTTTTCCCGATTATAACTTACCGAGTAATATCAATATATTAATATTACTATGTACTGAGAAGATTCGTGTAGCAGAACTAAACAATCGCTTGTAATTAATGGTTTCTTTAAATGTAAGCTCCAATAAAAGTAAGTAATCGATTATTAATAGCCATACTTTCCTTTGTTTGCAAATAGCATGTCATTCCTCAGGAAAAATTTTTCTTACACATGCATGCAAACACGGTGTAACTGTTTGCGATTCGTGATGGCTTCTTCCCGGACACTTGTCAATTTACCTCGACGCAGTTGAATCAGACGAGAGCGAGAGCAACAAGTTCGTTTTCAGTTAGTTATTAACACCAGGCGGTATAAGTGAGACTGCGTCATGTATCTAACAGGATGACACTGCATATTTGATATAAGACTAGTTTTTTGGAGCCAAGTTATGCAATTTTTAATTGCAAGTCCCGTTTACTATTAAATTGTTGTGTGCAACTTGACATTCTTCAATATAGTTATAGCTCGTGGTAATAGTAGTAGTAGAAGTGGGACTCCGCTATAATTTGTAGTGCTGTAGATCCATAGTAATATTAGAATTTTCGAATTTGTTCTACGCCACCATTCTAAGCATGCATATAGTTGTACATGCATCCTCAGGAAATGCTGAAAAATTTTTTTGTTGTACAAATAATTTTACTGTTAATCTTAATCTTGTGCATCTATATTAGCGTCCCGTGTAACTTTTAAAAATTTAACTCATAACAGTGCGTGCTGTAGGCCACACCTTTATTCCTGGATTGAAGGTATACACTCTCACGAGGTAGCCTTCGAATCTGGAAACTTTAACTTTTCGACTCAACAATTGTTAAACAGTTCCGCTTTCGAAAGGAATGCCTGCCTATAAGGCATGACACTATACACTACAGTACAGAAGCATTTTAACATACGCTTTGCATTTTACTTGAATAGCCGACATGTCGATTGACCGGGAAATTTATCACTATCTAAATCCACTTCACCAGCCGAAATCAATGTCCACGCTGTTATCTATAAGGCTTCTGTAGAAAATTGTTGGATATCGCGAGATGACTTAAAATCAATTATACAGAGAGCAATAACCGCAGCCCAGTTTCATTATGAAAATAGCTCTCCAAATTCGGAGGTTTTGCAGATTTTGACACGAGTTGCGTAAACTGTCGAATGTTTCTATGCCGAAAATGTGAACTAATTCATAATTGTTTTTATAAAGTTTGATAGCGTTTTTCGATGGAATCTGCTGTATACCGATACGTGACATGGGGGACTAAACTTAGATTTGGAAATGTTTAATCCAAATGAACAAATTGAAAAGAATGTGGAAGAAAAATTAGAAATCGCGGTACAAGTCATTATACCATTACGTTAATTGCATACCCGTCTCTGATTTGACGGTACTCTCGTATTGGAATCCCAATGCAATTCGGAATCTGCGTCGGATACGTTCTCTTCTTCTTCTTCTTCTTCTTCTTTTTTTTTTTTCTCTTTGGACAATACGGACTCTTGCCATGGTAGGTTGCTGAATAAAATAATTATCTTCTATACGTGACTGACTTAAATCATACCTTTAGAAGACAGATAGAAATGTTAGATGGATTCATTTCAGATGACCGTTGGTTATTATTATAAAGTAGACAATGAACTAATTAATTAAGCAAATAACGTATCTACTTATCTTTTTCATGTACAGTTTTGTTCTATTAATTCTCACAAATATTTTCGTTCATATCGTAAATCCACAAAGTTTCCGCGATAACTAGTCTTGAGTTTATCCTGTACTAAATTTAGTACAGCAGGAATAAGACAAAGGAAAACATGTCATTCTCAAAAGAATGGCCACTAAAACAGTTTTTGCACACGCATTAAGTATATATTGATATCTCGTTCTTGCACTACAAATATCTGCAATGTAATCGTGGGTCTAAAAAAGTACTTCAGCAAAGCAAACAATTACAGAGATGCACTATTTTTAGTTTTTCTTTTTAGGATAATGTACCAGCTGGTGTTGCGACTCTGCTTCCATTAATCTCGTTAAGTATATAAACTTTTTTTTTACGTTCAATTAATGGAAGCGATAAGGCATCTCAGATTTTTCTAAGAGAAACTTTCGACAAGAAAGAACGATTAAATAGTTAACCTAAGCAAATTGGTTAATAAAGAATTATTATGCCATATTTTACGTGACTCAAATAATTTTACTACAGCAAAATTTTTTGTTACGATAATAATATGACTGTTTTAATCCAGCCCGATACCTTTAACTCATCGAGAGTCATTATGTACGTATATATTTCAATAGCGTAGGCAAAGATTTATTGTTATTTAAGTGTATTTCTTTCTTTATTACATTAAAAGGATTATTAATCAACTCAACCGACAGCTGTTGAGTTTATTTCGATTGTACTCTTTCTAATTTCTGTTAAATGGCAAGGAATTCCATCCGACGAGTGTTAGTAACATTTGAAAAAGTTAATAAAAGAACATTTAAACAAATTGTGCGCGTTTATTGTTGTTTTAGCGGCATTAGTTTACCCAACCTTATATCCCAACCCTATATCCCATTTCACAGCATACTGCGCTAATGAAATCTCGCATGAGAATAATTCAGCTCATTTACGAAATAATTTAGCTCATTTACGAAAAAATTAAATCTTGCATGTAAACATTGTGACAGACTTTGCATTATGATTTTACACTATATTTCTACACTTTACATTGTTCTGTAAAAAGATATTTAAACCAGCTGGATTTCTACGTTCCGATTCAGCAAATCCTTGTCTTCTGATCTCTCTCTCTTCTCTTCTGATCTCTCTCTCTTCTCTTCTATTCTCTTCTCTCTCTGCGCTCTGAATACAGCTTTATCCAATCATGAAAATGAATCGTACTACTCTTACGTATTTGTTTTTCCTGCTTATTTTTACCGTTGGTGCCTTTGCCAAAGACCCCGTTGATGTGAACGTCATAGGTATTAAATCGATTTCTTAAATATGAGATTTGCCGAGATTAAAAGAAATGTCTAATTGTCATGTATCAGTATTGTGATTAAAATTATTATCGCTATTATATTAATATTTTCAATCATTCTAAATCATGACACTTAAATATAAATATCATTTGTTAAACCCGGTAACTTCTCCGCTAAATTTTCTCATCATATTATATTATTTAACAAAAACAATAGAGGTCGGCCTTGATCATGTGACCGTCAACCTCTGCGCCAACGTTGCACTAAACACGCGGGTGCAACTAAAGGTGCTTTTGGAGCCCGTTCCCGTCGTAATTGCATTAAAGAGTGAGTAATATTACCATTACTGTTATCATTAACATCAATTGAAAATAATAGCTAATACAGTATATCATTCCAGCTCTCCAACTGCACCTGGCAGCGCATGTGTGCCTCAAAGTTAAGATCTTCGCCATACTTCAAGTCGGCAAACTCTATGAAGTAGAATGTGACGAGGATAAGAGTGGAAACCGTCTGGGTAGTTCCAAAGAATTTAGTCCTTCTTCTTAAGTGAAGCAACAACCGTCACGCTAAGAGTCCTACAGGCAGTCGTAGTTGAATATATTGGTCTTTCTGTTGTTCGTAACTGTGTTAGAGGGGAAATTCTATTCAGATACTTGTCCAATCACTTGTCCAATTATCAAAGGATGTCTTTGATCAAATGTATTGACTCTTCAGTTCTTTTTTAACCGTAAGAGTCGTTAATTTCCTTAATAATCTGTGCGTATATATTGAGCTCTGAATAGTAAAGTGATATTAAAATAATGATGCCAATTGGAAAAAAAATGCTGTTTGTCCATCGCTGTTTTGTACCGTGTAAAATGTAGCTTTTTAACAGCATCGAGTATAAGAATGCTGTACATACTACCAATTGCGCATAGAACTAAAATATGAACACGTCACTAACATTAATATTAATCAACCATGCTCGTATTTATTTATAATTATTAGACGTGTGTAGTGTGCCACCCGATTTCATCGGTCGGCCTTTATAATTTTTACCGTTGGATAAATTTAAGCTAAAATGTATTTCGCGACTACTAGTGCGAAAAATTTATTCCATGAGAAAATGTTGGAATCATATTTGTATTTTGTGTTCAGTAAAAGCAAAATTATGCTTTTTCATAATTACATCTTAAGGGGTTTTTCCAAATAATTCTAACCAGCGTGGGCTATTTTTTTTTGTGGGTTAAAGTATAGTATTTAAATGCGTTTGAATGATGGTTTAGATCGTATGATTGCTTTTGAAATGTTAATCATAACTAAATAAACTATTGTTGTAACAGTGAGTGTATGTAAGACGTATTAGTATTGCTGATTTAAACAGCAGTTTAACAACAATGGCTTAGATTTACTTTTTAAATGTCAATCACAACCAAATAAACTATTGTTGTAACAGTGAGTGTATGTGCATAAGATATATTTCATAAGCTAAAGTTGTAAAAGATTCAATCCTATGACCTTAGAAAATGAATCTGCTTGAAACCCAAAATGCTAAGGTAATAAGTAGCTATGACGGAATAGAGTACTTTATTATACGTTTAGTCAATAAACTATAAATAAAAATTATGTTATACGATTTCTTGATTAAACAGGAAGATGCATAGTAATAAATGTTTGCTTTGGGTAACAGTCGTGCGACACAGAATCGCAAAAATTTAAATTGGCAGAATCGACGCCTCTAATATCACAAGCAAACAAGTTATTTACTGATATTCGGACGTCACAAGCCGCAGCTACACCAGAGATTTACTATGTTGTTATTATCGATTCTTGGGAATAATTCATCGCTATTCTTATGTTTAGTGGCAAGGCAATAATATTCTGGAGAACCGTACGGTGATTATTCAGCAAATACGAGATACACAGTGAAAACAGACGCAGCGATCCAACATTTTTATCCATTAAATCAAGAAACTAATCGCTAAATCGAGTTTTCAAATATATTAGATGTTGGAAAGCGAACCGTGTGGATTGGCCATGAAAGTTCTCCGTACCATAAGATAGCAATAGACGGTAAAGCGACATTGAAGGCTCGCAAGGCCTTTTCCCAGAACTTTTTGTTGTAGATCGAAAGAAATTCGTTCGTTTCACGACGCTTCCCTGTAGATCAGAATGATTTCAAAGCGGTCAGATATTCTCGAAAATGCAATTTTCGTTCCCAACGCAACCGTTTTAAAAATTCTCGCTTTATGTAATAATAATAATAATATATAAGAACGACCCACCTTTAGGTCGATCTTTAACCATACATAGTGAATTTTTTTGTCGATATATATATATCTATAAATAGTAGGATTAGCATCCAATAGAGATCAAAAATCATCCATAAAAGGGTCAACTCTCCCTAAATGCACGCCTTGGACCGAGCGTGCATTTAGGGAGAGTATAGTAAATTCACGTGATTTCGATACTTTATTCATTTATTGGTTGAAATATTGGTCTATGCTTGTTTGTCGCACCGTATTAGCTTTTTTCTCTCTAATATATCTCTCGAGAATATTTGTCATTTTTATGTATTCACTTGCATTTTCTGGTTGTAGTAAAAATGATTGTACAGTTTCCAAGCCTTGTAATGTTGTACTGGCACTGATAGCTGCTATTTCGGTGCTTGTTCGAGTTCTGGGTATGTAACCGATCTGTGTCTCCTTGTATTTGGAGCAATGATTTCTTCTTCAGAAAGTAACTGGTTGCTTCTTTGCAAAATTCGTGTTATGGTAGACTCATTAACCCTGACTTGCCATTTATTTTCGACCCAATTAACATACTCCGCACGAGATTTCTTATTATCGCGAGCATACAGGCAAAGTTCGTATTTTTGCGAATCTGTCAAGTTGTCTTACTTTTTTGGCGGCATGATAAAATATTTTTATTAACGGTGAAATTTCAGTACAATTCTCTAACTAACAATTAGTTATAAACGATTTTTATGACTGTGACCACGATGGCACGCTTAAATGGTGGCTAACTGTTACAATCGTAAATTATTACAGAATATGATATTAAGATGTTGTCTAAATAAATACATGACCTGATGTTAGCAGATAATGTTCCTACAGAACTGTATTCTCACATCTCGCATATAAGTTGACGCCAGAAAATGGTTCGCTTGCGTAAAGTGGAATGATTATAGCACGGATTCTTTTTTTATGATCCGATAATTTGTTATTTTCTTATGACCTGGGAATGGTAAAGTCTTCATATTTAGTTTCTGGGTCACGTGCAGTGCATTTATGTAGATTATTTTCATATAGTCGGGACCGCAAAATCCATTGCACGTGCAGAATATAGAGAGTGTGCATTTAGCATTAAGTCCCGAGGTTGGGACCATCAAATCTCGTGCATTTAGGGAGACTGTGCATTTAGGGAGGGTTCACTGTAATGTCAATTACGAGAGTAGTGGTGGTGGAACATGATTTTGGGACTAGTAGTAGTCGTAGAGGTAATTAATGTGTTGCTTGCTCTTGTTCTTGTTGTCACTTGAAATGGTAACGATGTGTTTATATTGGCTCAAGATTTTAAAAAATTCATTTGCCTGCAGTATAATCAATCATTTATTATTAATGGATGATTTTACATAGTATCGGTTTAGAATAAGAATGACATGAACAAGGTTTGGTAGTTTTCTTCTATAATATTTGCATGTACCGACAAGTAATGATTCTAGTTGTCAATAAACTTGTTCACATGATGGCCGATTATAAGGATTTTCATCCCAGCATTTGGAATACAGTGCAATATATTCTTTAGGTATATCGCAAATCTTATTATCCTCACGTAATCCGCGTAGTCGATGCATGACAATATCATGACTTTGAATATATCCGTTACATGGAACCTGACCGCTAGCAATTTCCCAAAGTACTAAAAATATCAGATTTTTTCCCTCGTTTATACGAACTCGGTCTTAAAGCACATTGGATCTATGTATGCTGCGTGTACTCTACATCTTGACATAGACGCTTCTTGGTTAGGATTACCAGACAAACCAAATTCCGTTATTTTTTGCAACGCCTTTTTTAATAAGAATATTAGCAGATGTCTGCATAAAAGCGATAAAAATCAGTCTTTATATAACACACATATAATTGCAATGCATTTATATTAATGTTGAGCAAATGCAGTAAAATAGTTGTAAATACCAGATCCTTGTGTACAATATTGAGATTGTGCAAATGTCTTAATCCATTGGTAATATCCAAGCCAAGTCTGCATTTTCTTTGCCAAGTCAGAATGCGAACATACTTTGCTAAGTAATTACACAAAGTTCCACCCTCGGCGTACTCCAGAATCATGTAACGTGTATCGTACACATCTGTTTGTATTAAATTCAACAATTTTAGTTTGAATTGTATCAATACGAAAGCAGTACAAACAAAATTAATCTATGACAGAAATCAATCAAAATGTTCAGGTATGAAAATTGTATACTCACCTTTATAGGAACCCAAAAACTGAATGATGTTGAGATTATTACACACTTGCTTGTGAATATTTAGCTAATACACGATAACGAAGGTAAGATCAGTTTACGAAAAATATGTGAACAACAAGTAACATAGTAATAGGTAACAACCTCTTTGTCAAACTGTTGGTCGTGCTCTTCTTTACTTTTATATTGATTTGAGAACAAAGTTTTCATTGCGACTATTGTTCGAGATTGTTTTATTTCTCCTTTGAATACTGTTCCGTATCCACCAACCGCCAAAATTTCACCGATTATTACATCGCTTTCCTGATAGACATTAGCCATCGTTTGAATGTCCCCTGTATGCTGGAGCATGTTGGCGACGATTAATTTACCATTGTTATTGTTACTGTTGTTGGCGTTCTTCTTTGACTGGCCATTTTTGTGTGCTCGTTCCATGTGTCTGCTGAGTTGGCCCAGTCTGCAAAAGGTTCTGTTGCAGCCATTGAAGGACACTTGTACTTCTTTCTTTGTTCCGCGCTATGTTGACATCGGTGCGGTTTCTCGCCAGTGTGAATTCGTGTGTCTTGTCAAATGTTCGAGTCGAGCAAACGCGTAGGAGGATGACGTTGCTGTAGTTTGTGGCGACAATTTCGGGAGAAGAGGAAAAGTCTGCGAATCACTGTTGAGGAGGTTTTGATAGTTGCGTGTTGTTAGCGAACTTTTAATAAGAAGATAGAATTTGCTGGGCAGATTTAAGGTCTTGTTGCGTGATGGTTAAATCTTTTTGACACTTGTAGTGATATTCCTAAGTGTAGCACCATCCCAAATATAGTAATCTATTAATATCATACCTCGGTTATACTACATAGTCAACCTCGATAAAATAAAGTCACTTTAAGATAAAATCACTCTAAGATAAAGAATTTTCCATAATATAAATTTTTTATAAAACCTCGATAAAACTGTAAGATAAAGAGAATTCTCTCACGCTTATAACAAACGAACCTCCATAAGTCAAATACCTCGATTAGTTAAAGATTTACCTCTTTAAATTAAATAATTTGCCATTTAAAGAATATGTGTTACCAAACAATCTTAATTCTTGATTCGAAAAACCATGAATACCACTGCTGGTCCTTCTATTAAGAACAAACGCAAGAATATATCTAATTCATTATCTGGTGGTAAAAAACCCCGATTAATTACGAGAAAGACTTTAACGGGACTACAGAAAAGAACCTCTGTGAAATGTTCAATACGCGCTTATATCAAAATCAAGAACTTGCGGAAAATTTTCAATTACAGTAACTCAATATTTCCACCAATAATAGAAATTTGTGTCGATGCCGCAGTATGCCATATAATCCTCGACCACCAGCCCGTCGACTTTATCTTATCGAGTTTGACTATGTATATGCGTTGTGAATAAAAGTTCCTCGCGATAGTTATACTATATGATACTATACGAGTACAGTTGACTCTGTTTATAGTGAACCGGGCTATACGGAACTCTGGTTATTATTATAGTGGACCAAATCATCAAGAATCGAATTTTCTATAATAATAAATCTGTCTATAGTGTCTGTGAACTCATTTTTCTAAGCCCAAATCGATTTTTCTATTGTGAACTGTCACACAAACAGTGTCAACACGTGTCATACGCGTTCAATTTGATGATGCAATACAATTATTCCATGTGATGCAATTGAGCACAGATATAACTGATAAGTCTAAATCTTTGAAACGTCGATGTTGACGCGGGGGGAAAAAAATAAAGGTAAAGGTAAGGTAGAGATATGCTCAAGCTTTACTTGCAAATGAAACCACTGGCTAGAATTAATGAGAGATAATAATAACTATAGCTTTTGCTCAAGCAACTCCTCCGTTACGAACAGAACTGTCTAGCGGTAAAGTAGATTTATTACGAGTACTGTTTTGTAGAAGGTTTATTATTAATATTGTCTATGAACAAAACAGCTATGGAGGACGTTCACTTGAGCTCTTCGTCATCTAAAAGAATCTGGGTAAAATATGGTGACGGCCGGCCGGTAAAGGTTGCCTTCGACGGAAGCGATGTGGACGACTTGAAAGAAGCAATAAAGAAGAAGTTATCGCCTGATTTAGATGATGTGGCCGTTAGCCGGATCACCCTGAGGAAGCACGGCAAGGAAGAAGACTTGGATCCGGGACTAGTTATAGATGACAACTTTAAAAACACCTCGAAAACATCTCTACAGCTTATCATAAATGCACCTGGTATGTATTCAAGTTTACTTGAAAGCATCATAGAGTTGATTTGCTGAAGTCGTTTTCTCTTATGCGTCTCTGTCTTGTTTATCTGCGTTATCGTCGTAGCGTCCAACAAGAGAAAACTGTCCCCTCATTCGCAATACATGGAAGACCTCAAGTGCATTAAAATGGACGAGCTATTTTGGAATCATCAGCCCCCATCAGCACAAGGCATTCCGACTGAGTTGCTGCATTCCGTGTTTGGTCAATTCCTAGATGACTGCACGGCCATTCAACCAGAGTTCCAAGATGTGCAGTTTACATATGAGTTCAGTGCTGAAATGTCCAGATACTTTTGCACTGAGGGTGCACGTGCAGCGAGTTTCCGGGATCTATTCAAGAAACACTTCGATATTGATCTTTGCTGTGTTGAGTTGTCTGCCTCAGATGACAAAAATAATAAGCTGAGGACTGACAGTACCTTATATGAGGGTAAATTCATGGTGATAAATGTAGAAGTAAAGTCAGAACTTTGCACTGGCACAAGCAATCCATATATCCAGAACATTGCATATTACAAGGAATACCTCCTTAAGAATAGTAACATCACCAAAATGACCAGGCTTCCCTGTTTTCTTATCGTTGTGTCAGGACCACTGTTCAGTATCTCAACTGCCATTTATGGTGAAAAGGTCACTGTGGATCCATATCCATATGTCCTTTCCCTTGATTGCTCTTTATATCATTATATGAGTCTCACCCATGTCTTTTGTGCTCTAAGGAATGCATTAAAGGTCTGTAAATCGAGCATTGGTTGAAGGCAATGACATGACAATTAACCATTTGTTCCTTATATTAAAGGCCCTGCAGCAGTATTACATCATGCCCCCACTTATCGAGCCAGATCAACAACCATTTCCATATATTGACTCTTTTTTGTTTGATGATGAAGTCTGTGTTTACTTCAAGTATCAAACTAGGCTTAACCCATTAGTGTTTGTTGTTCAGGTGGTGAAAGATGCACCAGAGAACTTTCCGGAATATGTTGTTGTAAAATTCACTCATTGTTATGATAAAAACATCCATCAGGCCTTTGCAAAACTCAAGATTGCACCACAGCTCTATGGCTTTGAACATCTACCTGGTGGATGGAAAATGGTTGTGATGGCATTTGTAGGTTATGATTTTAAGATACTATTAGAATGTGAAAAAAATCAATATATCAAGCAGGCTGTGGAGGAAATGGCAATGAAGATGCATGGTGAAGGGCTTGTACATGGTGATCTACATGATTGGAATATCCTTTGCTGCTACAATGACAATGACAATTCAGCAGATATATTTTTTGTTGATTTGGACTGGGCTGGCCAAGAAGGAACAGTTCAGTACCCCTTAAATATCAATCCAGATATCACTCGACATCATGAAGCAACAGCTGGTAGTCTTATTCATAAAGAACATGATTTGTATTTGTTACAGGAAATTTTCAAAACCTGTAGAAGTTGTAAATAGCGGCTGCAAAAAAATAAGCATCAGTTTTATGTAATAGTTATTTTTCACAAGACAAAGAATCAGGAGGCTTGCAATTTAATAAAGTCTTTTTTTGCTGCATTCGTTTCTGGCAAAAAATCCCTCCAATTGTAAGGTAACGATTTTATTGTCCACATCCACTCGAAAACCATAATGTAGGACTACGTTGTATATAGATGAGCTACATATACATACCATAGCTGTCGTTATTACCTGCACGAAAATGAAGCGTAAAACATTAACTCAAACATTCTAGCAGTTCCCGAAAGGTTACTTTGAAATTATTACATACGTAATCAGAATAAATCGCTTGGCCAAAAGCCTTGGCCGTTCAAATAATATTATTAAAACTTTCCATCAAATGCATTTTCGGGCCTTGGAACACGTTGGCTCTCCCAATTTTTAAATTGTCCTTCTTTTGCTTGTAATCTCTTAGATAAACATACAAGAACATTTTAATAAAGCCGTATCGATCATACAATTTTAGTAGAGTTTAATTACCCAGTATTCTTCCTGAGCATTCAGCTTTCTCCGTTTCGGATCCATCTTTAATTTTTCCTCGCTATCCAACTAATCCCATCACTAGTCAGAAAATTTATTCCATTAGAAAAACCTCATCGTTAATTTTACTTACAGACTTGACGCGCTTCGCATAAGCATCATATCTTGTTTGCGTCATAAAGCTCAGCCCATATGAACCAGCTATTACAGAAAGTATGAAAGGCAATCCGACCACGAAGAACGGATACTTTCGAACAATTGTCTTCAATGGAGGCGTTTTCAGTGGTCGACGTCTGAATACAACCATTGTGGGGCAAACATTTCAGGTTGATCAAATGTTTATCCGCAATGATCGACATACGAACCTTGACTCCATGACTATTTTGCCAACTCCTCCACCGGCCAGATACACGTATTTGATATCCAGGTATTTCGAGACAGACAATGATATGTACATACATTGAACGTTATATTCTAATTTAAGTTGATCGCTATTACCAAGGCGAGGCGACATAGCTTTATCGGTCTTTGCGGGGACATTGTCCTATTATTACTACGAACGCAACAATCCACGAGAACCTGGAAAGTCGTTACACGAATTGATTCAGAAAAGAGTTCGAAAAGTTCGCCCACTAGGGAATCGCATCAATCAATAAGGTTCAATATCAATCATGTTCACAAACGACTTTTGTAACATAAATCAAACATTAGCATTTTTTGTTTAGTCAATCACTATTCGTCTATCATTGCGGTTCAACGTTCACTTTGCGATTCCATTCTCTACTTCGAATCAAGCTGTCAATTATCTTAATACCACGGTGTCCCCAAATCGGATTTTTCTCCCACGAACGCTGCTCAGCCAATTCAATAGATAATTCTTGAGGAGTGCGGTTTTTCCTAGCCGATTCTGCTAGGATGCTCTTTGTCAGATTGTAAATTGAATTCTAAGGTGCATTATATATGTAATAAGGTTGTCGAAATTAAAACATGGAATTTGGAGAAACGAGAGAGATTGGTGCAAAGGAACGCTTCAAACTTACATCCCACGAATCACCCAAATGCATTTCAATGTTGGGATCATTATCGACATATCCTACCGCTTCATCTGCGCAGTTTACAATTCCTGGTCGTATGGATGTTTTGCATTAATGTTGAGATTAATGTTCATTTCTGTGATATCAGTATTAACCGTACTTACCCATTCTGTTGGCCAAAAAGTCTGTTAATAACAGCAACCGTATTAGTCAGTCTTGTATGAATAAACAACCAGACATCCCATATGCTAGTCTCCTTCCTTACCGGGTACATAAATGATCCCTCGTTCGGCCAAAAGCTTGTCATCACTCGTTAAATCTATGGTATAATCACGAGATTGAAAAGTTTAATGCCGTGTCTTTGCCATGAAAGCTGTCTTATAACATTATCACGCATCAACAGACATATCGATGAGAATGATTTATGGCTAGTTTAGACATACCATTAAGTTGATTGTTTGCGGCGCCGCAGATAACCTTTGCTTTTATGTTGGGAATTGTCTGTGGGTTCAGAATGCCACCAACCGCACATGGTGCTAACGCGTCTACATCTGCGTATTGAGACTGCGTTAGTCTGCCCTTACACACACGCCCATCATAAAATTGCATTCCGCAAAAAATAAATACCCTCATATAGTATCATATCGTCTCGAGACAAAACACTCTCCAGCCTAAGCCGTCCGCTAGCAGTCCACCTTCTCAATTGTTCTGCAGCCAAATTTATTCGCGATGAATCAATATCGGAAGCGATGATATGAGACACTTCTTTCCTGAGAAGATGTTCTATGAGTTTGATGCCTACGTGCCCAACACCCTAAATGAGAAACAGATCGTTTGAGATGAAATGTACTATCAAACTAATAGCGGTTAAGAAAGTAGCAAACCTGAACAGCGATTGTTGCGCCCTCTAGTGATTTCCCAATATATGATAGAGCAGCTTCTAAGCCTCGAAGAACGCCTCGAGCCTATCGATTATGACATATTACCTGAGATGCAAAAAACAAACCGAATATTGCATTTCATGTGTCCAGACTTACCGTTGGCTCACTTGGATTTCCTGATCCGCCAAATTCATGTGGAATACACGTTGTAAAACGCGTCTTAGAAAACATTGCAGCCATGTCTTGATCTAATAATGCGATGGGAACTTTAATGTTATAATTTTAGAAAATACTAAAGATGCTCATGACAAATACCCATTGTTCCTACGTCTTCAGCAGTCACATAGCAACCTCTCAATGCACTTGAAATTTAAAAATGCAACAATATAAATAGGCATGTATTCGAAAAAATCTGTACTTTCAAGAAATGCCAAATATCTTTTCCAACGTACGTCATAAAGCTGCCATACTCTTCATACACAATTTTTCTGTCGTCGGCCTTACTGCCTGGCCCTCTGCATGCCACAATTATTCACAAGTAATTAGCTACAATGAAATAACTTCTTCCTTGTGCATTCTAATTTTAACGCGATACTCACAGTCCGACTCCAGTATTCCTCGCCAACAAACCCTTCCCGCCACCCCACCATAACCCGGCTAGAGCATTCTTATGGGTCATACCACGAGACAGACGTAGACCGTCTCGGAACCAGTCTTCTACAGTCCTATAAGTCCAGTTACGGACGCCTCCTGCGCCAGCACCACGACATGTGCGATGTATGAACGCTCCCTTTTGAAGCGTTGGAATAGAAGAAAGTATGAGCGATGGAAAAATAGAAATTGTGTGGTTTGAACGCGTCACTGAATTTTTCACCTGCAAAACACCTGACTTTGGACCGATCTGGATAAGAGAGATAGTCAATATATAAACATTTCGTAATCACCAAATCTATGGCAATTTTTGAATCCAATCCAATCCAATCCAATCCGTCGCCACGAACACATCCGTACCTGGCCAAAAATACCTTCGTGTGAATCGAAATCTCTTCCTTCATTTCTAAAATATTCTACAATTGGATCTAATGCGCTATGTGATGTTGCAAACTTTCTTGCATCCGGTTTATAGACAGCATGGAACGTAGATATCCCGCGAGATCTAAGGAAATATATAAAGTCCGGGAGATTTAGTGTGAGAAGCGCTGGTTTTGTAGCCATTAAAAGAGAAGTATGATATATAGACAATACTAGATAGACAATACATGATGAAATATTCGATGGTTTTTTAAATAGGAGGCAGGGGCCAACAATTCTGAAAAGGGCTTTTTTTTTCAGTGTCACAACAACGTGACTAGAATGTATGTTAATTCGTTTGCTATATCTCTAAATAAACATAGCGGTATTGACTTTACTATTCTGTAAGATGTTTGTAATGGACTATCCCCATGCAATAATGTACAATATTCGTTTAGTCGAGATTATAAATGCCTAAACTGGATTTTAAACATTATTATATTAAACGTTTATCAACAACAAAATCTAACACGCGTCAAATTGAAAGAGATTATTTAAATTTTAATTCTAAGAGGGCGATGTCTTCGAGTTGGTGTTTTGACTAATCGGGTATCCTTTTCTCAATTGCGTTATAAACTAAGCTGTAAGGGCCTTAGCTAATGCCAGGGACTATGTATTATTCCCTATCGTTGGATATGTTTAGGCTGATTAAGCCTACTTTTACCACTAAAATTCTAACTCTTGTTAGTGAGTTAGAATACCTTCCTGAATGAGTATAATTCAATTTACAGTATGTGTAGACTATGAATTATTAATATTTAATTATGAACTATTAAACGTGCTATTAACACATGAATGGCACACCTCTACACACTAACTACACTAATACTAATGGAATTTTTACGCTCCTTATAAATAATCGCGTTTACTAATTTTAGCCAAAAACTCTATGCGAGTATGTCTCGATTTCATTGGGTCATTATTATGACTCAATTTCATTAATTTATACGAACATTCAGATGTACTGTCGCTCCACTACAAATGTTGTTACCTACGAAACCAAGCTCACAAGATAAAAACTTTTAATGCAATAATTGTAATTGTACAAGTGATAATCATTATAATTTCAATCACGTGATATGATATTTTAAAAGTGACATTTCTTCAAGTTTATTTAAATGATCACCTTCTAATGAAAAGCTCTTCAGTTGAAAAAGACGACCTTGTCGTGAGTAGAGCTTTTCCTACTTCAAAAAAAAAACCTCTTGGATCACTAAACACGCGACCACCAGCTAATGGAGAAGAGTATTTGCGCCTGGTTAACGAAGAAGCAAATAAAATACCAGCAGTTAAAATTGCGCCTTCACCAGCAAATAAACAATCCGACGATAAGATAGCAGGATGGGTGAAGAGGGGTTGGGCTGAGATGAGGAAAGAAGAAAATGCAGTCGATGAATTGATGCCCAATAAAGAGTGGGAAATAAAGTTTTTGGACTGGTTTGAGGACACGAGACAAGTCAGTGTTTGTGCTAGACGATGGTTCAACATATGCGTGCTTAATTGTTAATTAATTATTGTGCTAAAGGAGCTACGCAGGTGGATTGATAAACAAGCATCCAGTATTAACCAAGCAGCCGAGGTGTTGGAAATGCCTAAACACAGGAATAAGACTGCTTGGTACAAGTTCTGCTACGGATCCGCAGGGACATCCCCCACCCTTTCAATAATCTCAAAGATAGATCAGGTTGGTATGTAAAATCTAATAGCACTCAATGATGTCTTCAACGATATTTATCAAAAACTGATATGTATAATATGTGCAAATCAGCAAACAACTCTTTCTTTAATATCATATCATACTGAATGGCTCTCTGGTAACGAGATCTCTAAGGCACAATCACAATGGATCTTTGCCCTGCTGCTGAGAATAGACAAGCTGTTGACTCCTAATCAGACTTCACTGCTGAGGGAACTTTGTAGAAAATGTATAGACGTTAGGAAAAATTTGGTAAGGTAACCGCATATGTTATTCTCTATACATTGTTACAAGCATTACTAAATGGTATCTACTCCAAACAGTCGGCCTGTGACGTTGAAGACATTAATTTCGCCTCTGCCAATATAATAATTTCAATAATAAGAGGTAGCTTTGGCCAAAAAGATCTTTAACAGCGTACCAAAAAATCGGCATTCTTTTAAACTCAATCGACATCTTTATTGACTTATTAGCTTGATCAAGTTTAGCTTGACGAATCAACTGCAATAAATACTTTATCTCCATTAAGAAACTCTGTCACAATCCCCGTTACATTTGTGCTAATGTGCTAATACACTAGTACTGGTAACACTTTTCTCGACAAGATTTCCGTGTACCAATCTTAATTGCTCGTCAGTCCAGATGGGCGCAGGTTTAAGATCACCAGTACCCACTCCAGCGCACCCTCCTTCGGCCTCCCAATCTTTAACACGCTTTAATCCATTCCTACTCCAAATGGACTCCAACACATCTACCAAATAATTAGCCATCTCGGGGGTATGACCCGGGGTAGGGGTAATCCGAAGACGTTCCTGTCCACGAGGAACAGTAGGATAATTGATACTCTGAACATATATGCCATAATCTCGCAACAGCTGGTCAGAAGCAAACTTACAACGTTCAGCATCACCGACAAGTACAGGAACAATATGAGAAGGATTAGGCACAACAGGAATATCAATCTCGGCTAATTTAGCCTTAAGAGAGCGAGTGTTTAACTGTTGCATCTCTCTCTCTTTCGTGGATTGCTTAAGATAGTTGATAGAAGCCTTAGCACCGGCCACAACGGCGGGTGGCAATGAAGTAGTAAAGATAAAACCTGGCGCGTACGATCTAATCATATCTACCAACCGAGCAGACCCGGCAATGTACCCACCAACAACACCATATGCCTTCCCAAGAGTGCCAGAGATAATATCTACTTTATCCAAAATGCTTCCATTACCACCATAAGGATGTCTAGCATTTAACTCATAATCTAGGTGCTCAGCCACGCCAGCTCCTCTCGGTCCATACATTCCTACAGCGTGGACCTCGTCAAGAAACGTAATTGCACCATATTTCTTTGCTAAATCACAAATCTTTTCAATGTGCCCTACAGTACCACTCATAGAGTAAACGCTTTCGAAGACAATAATCTTTGGAGTACTAGTCGGTACAGTTTGTAACTTTTCTTCGAGATCCTTAAGGTCGTTATGCTTGAAGATTAATTTCTTGGCTCCAGAATGACGAATACCTTGAATCATCGATGCGTGATTAAGCGCATCGGACAAGATGACGCAGTTTGGGAGTTTGGCAGCGAGAGTGGAAAGAGCAGCATCGTTGGCCACGTAGCAAGAGGTAAAGACTAGAGCGGAGGCCTTGTGATGAAGATCCGCCAATCCAGCCTCGAGTTGTAAGTGGAGGTCGGCATTACCGGCTATGTTGCGCGTACCACCTGCACCTGCACCGTATTTACTAAGAGTTTGTCTGTGAAGAGCGAAGCATGCAAAGTGCCCAGGAAAAGAATAAAGGGAATGCGGGACAAAAGATTAGGTGGCTTGGTAGGAAATAATTAGAGGAAAACAAATACAAAAGGAAATGAAAAATTCTCAAAGTTTGCTTACTTCATAGTTTCCAGGACAGTAGGGTTTCTTCCCATTCCAAGATAATCATTGCTGCACCAGACAGTGACTTCCTCATTGGCATTAGCAGTATGGGCTCTAGGAAATTTCTGAGCAAGTCTATTGATATTGTTAAAGTAACGATAGCTCTTATCCTTGTGCTTTTTATCAAGCTCTTCTTGATATAATCCTTCATAATCGAAAGATTGAGAATTGGTCTTGTGAGTTACTGGAGGGTGATGGAAGGGGCAAACACCTGTTGATTGGTAGTTGGGTCGGGGAAAGCGTAATTAGTATAAAAATGGTTGTTTATCAGGATGCTGAGCCAACAAAAGTTATCAAATTCTCGGACAACAATATCTAATTGCATAATATTCTTTTCTTACCTTCGTTTCTTTTTTTCTTGGTTTCTGTAGGATGGGTAGCAGGAATAGCAGCAGGAAGTTGACTAGTGTCGTTCACAATGCTCGCATGATTTAATTTCAAAGTCGGCTGCTGAGCCATAGGAGCACTGCTATGAAGGTAACGGTTACTTTGAACCGCCATAGCTTTACCCATTATTGGGCATTTCTTCGCCATTGACAACAACCCGTTGCCGCCATCAGCAACTGGGGCTGGAGTACGGGCAAGGTTACGGAGAGTAGCGGCGGAATTACGGTATAAGAATGGACAAGCCTTTCTAGAGGTTTTCAGAATCGATTCCATCGAGGAAATACCAATACAAATTTTTGAAATTTAGATAACAAATCTTTGTTCGAAACAATGTTTAGGAAAACAGGTTTGAGCAGGGAAAATTTCATTATTTATGTACGATAAAGATGATCGGCAAGTAAATGTGTGCATTGTGAATAATACTAAGCAGTCCCGCGATAGCATCATGCTTCTGCTAAATTCGTGTCACTAAATGGAGTAATTTGTATTCCAATTGGAGCAGGCGATCATGTATCAGAAGCGACAATGGTTTAGCGTAAAAATCGCAGTCTCGCATATTAATATTCTGTAAATGAGATGTGTTTGACTCAAATTGCAATGGTCCAATGGCATTTTATCTTAGTCACATGAATTCTCATCATTGGTAAGGTGAATGTGTGAGAGACCACCATAACAGTAAGTAGTATAGTTTCCAGTATGAGATTTAGAAATATATTTTCAGTCTTGTCAACTACAGCGGGAAATTTAATTTCTCACATTATTGATACAACCCTGATATTAACTCCATTGGTAAAATCGAAGACACGCTTCAAACTTGTATTTACAGTCGATAATTTCTGCAAACGCTGTTGGTTTTGCTTCTTGCATATTTCTTGCCTTTGTTTCAATAGATAAATGCTGACAAAGAGTTTAAAGTTATTCCATTAATATTAATTTACGACTATTACTATCAGTATGTGACACAAAATGACCCGACTACCCGAAAAAGGCTGCATGCTAAACAGTGCAAAGCTCCTGTAATAAAGTGTTTGCGAGTTCGATCGTTTATAGTCCTGACAGATAACAGTAATGATATTCACAAATTTCAAACGATTACATTGGGTGGGTGTTCCTGGGAAAAAAATATACCATTTTGCTGCCTACTTCTTATCGACATCAAAATCCAATAAACGTTGCCATTCCAAGGACTATTTTCTTCCCAGGAGACTTACAATGGCTATTTGTATAGTTTTAACGAACACTCAATTTGCACTTTCCACATATGGAGTGTCGGGCGGAAATTAATATAAATTCGTGCAATCAGCCATGTCGATCAAACCATTTCCTGGACATGTTCGTTATTATTATTGACTGTTTAAAAAATGGCAAGCATTTTCTCATCACCGCTTCCATTGACAGACCACAATTTTGTAGAACCTCGCAAGATGATCAGACAGCATAGTGACATTGACGTTTGGGTAGAGTCTAAGGCATTTGCACGATTTTTGATGTTCATCAAATTGCTAAATGAAAGCATTCTCAACAAGAAGATCTCGGATCCATGCACCGTTTCTGAGGTTTACATTTTCGATTCTTGCATTAAAATGTACGTGAATTAACAAAAGAATGAGTTATCGATGGCTAACTTTGGCTTTGAATAAATCCATCATAGACAACTCAGAAACTCGTGGACATTCTAGAGCAGTTATCGAATTGGATAGATGAGATCCCCCCATTACCAACCCCGCAACGGTTTGGAAACAAGGCATTTCGTGACTGGATTGCTCGCTTAGAGAATGTATTCAATCGTCTATTGTTTAACAACTTTTTAGTAAACAATTCATCAGCTGCCTGAGATTTAACCATTTTATTATCCAGAATGCAGTTGAGATACATAAAAATCTCCTTTTACCTCAATGGCATGATGCTATAGTTGAACTGGTACCACTGTTTAATGGAAGTTTTGGTCATGGAATACGCATTGATTACGGCAGTGGTCATGAACTAAACTTTGTTACGTGGTTGTGTTGTCTTACTCTTTTGGGTGTTTTTACACAAGAGGATTATCATGCTCTGATCTTGAGAATATTTTCAAAGTAAGGTCAACCTGTTTCAGTCTTTTTTTTTTCTTTTGTGAACTTTAATTAACTTCAATATTTACAGATATCTGGATCTTGTGAGAAAACTGCAAATTGTTTACAATCTTGAACCAGCCGGAAGCCACGGTGTGTGGGGACTAGATGATCATCAGTTTCTCTCGTACTATTGGGGAAGTGCTCAGTTAAGAGGTTAGCTGCATACTGACAATTACGATATATTAACAATAACAATTTCATTGACTGAATTGATGAACGTACTTCAGATCACCAACGTCTCAAACCCAAGTCGATTATCAATAAAGAGTTTGTAGAAATGTTTGCTGACGATTACATGTATTTTGGATGCATTAAACATATTAACAAGGTAATTATCCATAACTACTGGCATGGCTATGTAATAAGGCTTGTTAACTGTCTATTTGAACATATAGATAAAAAGAGGACCTTTTCATGAGCACTCGCCTATACTCTATGACATCTCAGGAGTGCAATCATGGCAAAAGGTTAATTCTGGGTTATTGAAGATGTATGTTGCCGATGTTCTCAAGAAATTTCCTATAGTTCAACACTTACTATTCGGTACTCTTCTTCCGTTCGAGCCTAACCAAGACTAGTCAACGGATAGCAATCAGTCTTTGGCAATACTAAACGTCTAGCATAAATATAATTTATTTGTATTAATAATTATTAGCGAATTTTTGGGTGCATCACTTGGGTGCAATTTCAACGTCCGAACAACTCATACCTACTGTATCTCGTGGATAAGTTTTAGCATTTAGCTAGCCAAATGAGCATATTTCGAGTTATGTATTAAAATCCTCGATGACATCAATAACTGTCTTGGTTTGTGTGTTAAAAGCAAATCTACGTGCAAGCGCAAACTCGATCGCAATCTTGTCTTGAACGTGATGGATGTATTACCATAGAACAAGCTATTGCTATCGAGAGTTTCTACATATACGTATACCGATTGAGTACAATTTTATTTTCTTCTGGGCCGCTCATCAAGTGTATGACTATTCGGCTCTGTTGAATGCTTAAATTGGAGAATTCACCGTGATATCGCGTAATTATTTAAATCTCCGATCTCATATATACGCCAATTCATGCAACTGGAACATGGTTATGTGACCGAGTTTTCTAGTTGGCATTACATGCATAAGAATAGAACGCACAGAACTGACTTTTTTGATTAGACGCGTATTTTGGAAGGAAATAAAGCCTAAGCATTTTATTCCAAAAACACGAACTTAAAGCCTTATTGGAACGGCATAGTCTCAGAAATTGTGGTTATCCATTTGTGACTGACTCTGCCCCCCCCCCCCCCCCCATACTACAAAACTCATGGTTTTCGTCAAGGAAGAAGAGTCCCCCGACGAGAACCCCAAACAAGGGAAAAAACGTTAATGAGCATGAGGACAAGAGACTTCAAAAATCATGCGCATGGGGTGAACGCAAATTCGTGCGAACTGTTGTGCGTATTGGAATGTGATGAAGCATTAACTGCTAGGTATGATTGTTATTTTTCGATTCTTTTTTTGTTTCGATTCGTTTTGATTTATTTTATTTTTATTTTTATTTTTATTTTTATTTTTATTTGTTGTTTTATTGTTATTTTTATTGTAATTGTTATTGCTATTTTATTGTTATTGTAATTGTTATTTTATTTATTTATTTTTGACAATTTTAGGGGCAAGATAATTAACCAAAATATAGAAACCAGCAAAGTTCGATAAACGAGTATTTATCCGCCGCTTTCACCGTCATACTCGATTATCAAAGTTCGTCTTTGTCGAAATAATTCGTGCGCAGAATTTTTCAAAATCCACGTTTATATCCATGCTTTCCGCATACCTGTTATCACTCTGGACGACAAACGCGATTTGTGGCCGCTTCATTTCGAAAAAAAAAAAAGGCATAATAATAAGTGGCCTGTTCCTCACAGAATAACGTCCGACAAAACTAATGAATGGAAATTTTCATGACACCGCGAAACCTAAGCGGATAGTTCTATTCATGCAGTTTCCTTCACATTGTACTCTCCTACTAAAAATTGGCCAATACAACATTGGGCGTCTATGCAAGCATCTTCTATCTATAAAGGACAAGCTGGTTGCCTCTAGTTCAAAACGTAAGAAGAAAAATCATAAAAAGAGTGTCGCGTTTTTTACTCGTCGAATTTGATGCCATTATCATTCTTCCTTTTGAGGTGTCGAATATGGTAAATCGTAAAACAAGAAAGATAACACGAAAAACCGTTCGTAAAATGCTCTGTTGGGGCCACTTTCGCCAACGTCTAATGGCTAAAGCAGAAGAATTAGGTTCATGTTATTATCCAAAATGAGGCATACACTTCAAAAACTTGCAGCTGGTGTGGGAGCGTTCAAAAATTAGGAGGGTCCGGTGCCGAAAATTGTGGGACTGTAATGGATCGAAATGAAAATTGGCGCTCGGGAATGCATTGCTTGATGGAGCCTAGATTCTCAGTTATAGTAGTAATGCCTATTGATATGTTACAATCCATCCGGCAGTACCAATAGACACCACTCTACGTAAATATTTTAATAGTTGCTACGGTTTTATTAAAGATTTAGTGAACAGTATGGTCTAGTGAAGTAGGATATATAATGCAAAATTCAAAGCTTCATGATAAATTTATTATACATTGCTAACAACACTCGCATTTCCAAGAACTTGTTTTCGACCCGCAAATAATTCGTCTATAGAATTGATTGTACGTTCTATCGATTCTATTTGTTGTCTTTTTCATACTTTTCTTTTGCAAGTTCTTGTAACTCGGTGGATTCACCACTTCTTTCGCACATAGCACGGAAGAGGGAATCACTCTTTTGCAATAATACATGCGGATGATCAAAATCTACCACCTTTCCTTCATCTACAGGTACAGATAACGAGCATTATTAGCAAGACATAATACAGTTGATGGTTACAAGTATAAATATCGACACTTTTGCCACTAAAGTTAACTCACCTAAAACTAAGATCTTGTCATAATCGATGACAGTTCTCAATCGATGCGCGATACATAACAAGGTCGACTCCTTAAATTCTTCACGTATTGTTGTTTGTATCATGCGGTCAGTGGAAAAATCAACGCTTGCAGTAGCTTCATCCATAATAATCAATTTGCTTCGACGAACAAGCGCTCTAGCAAGAGCGATTAACTGATGTTGTCCTTGAGAAAAGTTGTTTCCATTTTCGCTGACTGGAGCATCAAGGTTGTTGAACTGTGAACGGGATGAGTTATCTGGTGTCGTTAAACCAGGAGAGACTGCGTCATTGACAGAAGATGACGGATCTGTGGGAATGGCGTCTATCAAATGAGCACGGCGGAGAGCATTCCAGAGTTCGGCATTAGCGTACTCGTTGAATGGGTCCAGATTACTCCTATTTTTTTTTGAAAGTTTTCTATGAGAAAAGGTACGTTGTAATAACATCAAGATACAAATACTAATACTAACCTTATTGTTCCGCTGAAAAGAACAGGATCTTGAGGTATAAGAGTCAATCGGCTTCTTAGATCATACAGTCCGATAGTACCGATATCGATCCCATCGATAACAATGCGTCCAGACGTTGCTTCCATAAATCTAAAGAACGAAACAGCAAGAGTAGACTTTCCAGAACCTAGAGCGTGAATAGAATTTAAAGTATAATATCCATCCAAACGATATGGAATCACGATTAGTTACTTGAGTTCAATATAAACTTTTACACATAACTATTGCACTTACCAGTCCTTCCTACAATTCCAACTTTTTCTCCTTGTTTAACCTCAAAAGACACCTCTTTCAGTACGATCGGATCTTCCGGAGCATACTGTACAACCAACTTCTCTACTTTTATTTCACCTCTTGGCCAATCAGCTGGAGGTCTGTGTCCTTCGACGATTCCAGCTGATTCTCTGTCAAGTGTCAAATATTCCTTAACTCTCTCCACGGCATTCATGTTCATCTCCTGCAAAGCATACAACCGAAGAATCCATATAACATCCCCTGTGAAATTCAGCGCGTAAATAAGAGCGAATCCAGCCAGGCCGGGATCCATACCGTTTTTCAGCTGGATCGTGACGATGATAGCCGTACAAAAACTGACCAATGCACCGGCAATATCTACTCTAGTATGAAGCCATCTATTACATGCCCAATTGTATATAAATGGTCGATTGTTATTATCCACTCTGATACGGTTTTCGGCACAAAATCGTTTCTCGGCGCCAAATGCTCGAATTGTGGCAACTCCACAAATGGTCTCGCCAAAGTGGGTGTAAATTGGAGATCGCGTAACTGACTCTATTCGCTTCAAGTCACGTGAAGTTGCAAGATAATAAGCTCCAATAAAGATATACAAGCCGGCAATGAATATTCCCGCTATTAAGAACTGGGGCATTATTCCTGATATGATAATTATGACTGTAGCCGTAGCAATACAAGCGTAGATTAACGACATTGCAATAGGTGATAAAGTCCGATCTATAGTTTCCATATCTGATGAAAATCTGTTCATGATACGTCCAACGGGTGTTGTGTCGAAGAATCTTATTTTGGCATTCAGCACTTCATCAAGAAGTATTGCATGTAATTTTCGAGATGCCATAAGTGAGCTCGTAAACATGGTATACGACCTTGCTGTGGCTATGATTGTTGTTGCTACACCAATGAGTGCGTAAATGATCAAGTAATAAGTATCGTTAATTTTGTTCTCTTCATCAAATCGGTAATCATGGTCAGGTGAATGAGGTATATAATCTATGTAGGTCGGAGGAGCAATGGAAAATACCGATAACGTTGTTGCGATGAAGGACTGTATTTGGTCACGAATGTCATCGTATGCTCTGGTCCATTCTTTAATCCACCAATCTGAAATTAAAGAAATTGAGTTGAGTGAATAATAGAGTGACATACAAACAGATATAAATACGCTTGTTTGGTATAGTCATGGCAAATGCTTTTCAGCAGCCTGTGTATACAGAAAGTGGCCACTGTAACTATACGCATACAAACATGCTCTCCACATTCAATATACAAGTCGTTCTCATCAACCATGTTTGAATCCCAGCTCACCTTGTCCAACTTGCAAGAACTGAGTTATCATAAAAAGAACCATCAGGAGCACCCATAACAGCAATCCTCCTGATGCTACAAAATAGAGCTTGTACACCTCCCATTCAACCGTTCCTTCTGCTTTCTTCTCTTCGGTCATCAGCTTACTATCTTTAGTCGATGATGGCAAAGCTGGCTTCTTAATATCATCATCTACTTCAGCAGAAGCGCCTTCATCATCTTTGAACGATGCATCATTAAGAATACCAGATGCTAGCATCTCATCGGTATTACCACACTTCGCCAGTTGACCATCTTTCATTGCTACAACGAATGATGCACCACGAAGACATAGCCCAACATGATGCGTAACTAGAATACGCGTACGATTCTCCATTAATTCACCGGTTAGGCAATTGTCGTACAAATGTCTAGCTGTGTGTGCGTCAACCGCTGTTAAAAGATGTATGGATTAATTAGTGCTTGTTCGCACGTGTTGTTTTGAGTACAGAGGAAGAAGTGTGCACCCTACCAGACAAACAATCGTCCATAATTATTATTTCCGCCTGCGAATAAACTGCTCTAGCTAGAGCAATACGTTGTTTTTGTCCACCAGACACTGTAATTCCTTTCTCTCCGACTTCGGTATTATCGCCATGTTCGAATATTTCCAGATCTCTGGATAATGCACACGCTCTGATAACTTTATTGTATCTGTCCTCATCATAAGGGAGACCGAACAAGATATTGTCGCGTATACTTAAATTTAAAATCCAAGCTAATAATGGTAGCGATAAGATTTTTAACATCGGCAACCAATTGTCATCAATATATATATGAGTGGATAAATTAACTGCAAACCTGTCTGGGCAACATATGCAATGCCGCTTACTGCACCACCACCGGCTTCACCATTTCTACGCGGCAAGAGAATTTCGCCTTCAAGACAGTCCATTTCACCCAGTAGAGCCATTAAAACGCTAGTCTTCCCGGATCCTGTTGCGCCGCAAATGATGCTTAATTGACCACGTGGAAACGTAAAGTTTAAGTCACGCAAAATGAATTTATGAGGTTCTTCAGACTGATCGGTAGCTTCAGCCTGATTGGTAGCTTCAGCCTGATTGGTAGCTTCAGCCTGATTGGTAACTTTAGACTGATTGGTAGCCTCAGCCTCTTCGCCTGAAGGTTTAGCTTCAGGCCACTGGAATGTTGCATTGACAAATCCAATACGTGTATCATTGATCTTGGCCTTCTTTCGATGACGTTGAATGACATCCTGTTCTGCTAGAAAATTTTCTATACGATTCAGAGACACTTTGGCTATCATATGAATGACAATAGTGAGTTGAGCTGAGTTCAATACACAATAGTAGCATAAACGTAGAGCTATAATTGATAAGTACCTTGTAGAATTGTTATTATGATTGATGGTGCTTCTTCAAATGCATGTCGGAGAGTGCCAAATAGTGCTAAAGCTGTAAACGCCACTGGTGCCGTTAAGTCCTATAAATTTACCAGCCCATTGTTAGCACAATTGATAGTGATAAATGCATGACTTACATAACTTACATTTCCAAGCAACTTCGTATATGTAAAGAATACAGAAAGCATTAGAAATATGGGAAGCAACATCCATGCCCCTCCTATGTAAATCCATTGCATGAATCTAGCGCGATTATGTTTCAATTCAATATCTCTTGCTTCAGTGATTTTCTCTTTAAATTGCGATTCCCAAGCAAAAAACTTGATGATTCTAATGGCTTGAAGAAGCTATGAATAATGGTTAAGATATTTATCAATTATATATCATGGATGCCACATGCAAAGAAAATATATTAAATTACCTCATTAGTGACTCCCATACGTTTGTCAGTGGCGGCCATGAGACGAACTTGTATTTCTCGGAACCGTTTATTGATAAAATCAAGCATTGGATATGCTACAACAAACGTTACTAGACCAACCAGGGCGGATATGCCGAGTAATTGGTATAACAAATAAGCACAGATACTGATCTGCAGAGGGTAACAGTAGACTAGATAGAGCAGAAAAACTTGTTGAATAATCAATATTATGTGAGGACAACTTAGTAATTACGTGTTAATCAATTACCGTAAAAAATGTATGCCGACATCTCTGATACTTTCTGGGCGTCAACAGACATCAAATCCGTGATTTTCCCCGTTTTATCCTTTGACTCTTCGTCATTAGTAATACCGGACGTATCGCGTCTGCTCATAGCTTTTTTATAAATTTCTCCAACTAGAATCGCCTATATAATATAAATGACTTTAATTTTCACTGATCAATGGAAGATTACTTTCAATAGATACTCGACTCTTTAAACTACCTGAATTCGAATACCCAATTGCCGCCCAATATACAGGGCCTGCTGAAATGCCAAACTTGGTATGATATTTCCAAGCAGTAATCCAATCGCATACCAATAGATTGTTTCTATGGTTTCACCATGGTTATTTGGATAGTCTTGAACAAATACAAGTATTTTTTGCAAAAAGTATGGTGGCGCAAAGACATAGACAACCGACCATATAATAGAATAAACAAATTGAATAACCAGCTCTGTTCTAAAAGTATAGAGCAAAGACTGTGTGACACTATGTTTGCGATTCTTGTTATATATTTTGGCGGCATATTCGGCAGTCACAAATTTAGGTAATTTATAAACATCTTTCTCGCTTAATGTGCAACGGAAACCTTTGCTTATTAGTGGATTGACCCAAGAGAACATAAATTGCGAGTATATCGAAGCGTAAACTTCCGGAGACAACTGGTCACCCTAAAAGATTGATCATTGTCACAATTATTGAGTCACAACATTTAATATAACGTTCTGTTTTCACTAACCTCTTGACTGAGTTTCGCGGTAGGTTCGTCGTGATAATCTTTAGGTTCGAACAGGCTTACAAGCACCAAGCAAAAATTGAGTGCAAACGATACTACAGTAAAAACATGGTTATTCATAAACCCATGTCCGTATTCGAAATAGAGCGCGGCAAGTTCGACTATTAGCACAGCCAAATTGATGCCATACAGCAGATCAAGCACTGTTCGCAGCCGTAATATGTTGCTCCGTGTCTTAAATAATAGATTAGCAACCGCTAACCCGCTGGCATATATCTGTGTAACCAATTCACCATATATCAATTAGCAAACCAAGCTCACTAAGAATAGTGTCAAAATTCGATGCTTCAGAAACCTACCCATATGGCTATCTGCATCCAAGGACACGTCACCCAATACAGGCCACGTTTATTCTCACTCGCATCGTGTAACCTCAACGTGGTTTCAATGGCAAACAAAACGATCATCCCGATGGCAAAGACTAATCTAAGAGCGTCAAAAACAGTCACTTTAAGCTCCACCGAATCATCAAGCGTAGTATCGGAACTCTCATCGTCACTCAAATCAGCTTCATCATCTTCCGTTTGTTGACTTAGTGTTCCGTATGAAGCAGTATTTCCACCATTAAGCAAGCCAAGGCCTTGTCTTTTAACTTTACGCATATGACTGACGGTACGCCCCAGTATGTATACTAAACTTATAAAAGCAAAGGCAAATGGAATGCCAGCTTCAAGAACACTTGGAAAGTGATTAGAACTCAGTATTAACCCTGGTCAACTGTAGAATAACAACAAAATATTAGTTACTCACAACTCGCGAAAACAGTCTGTGAATTTGAATTTGCCATTTAATGGTTGCCAGGGACCCTGTAATTAAATAAAAGGTAAGATATCTATGAGCAGGAGAAGTTGCCAAGTTTCTCGATCAAGCTTACCCAGCCTCCATCCCCACAAAAGTTATCTTGCATTTTGACGTATAGTATCAACTATAAGAGAGGGCTGATTGCTGCGAAACAGGTAAATAAATACTGCTACAACAGTTACACATGTTTATATGCTTTCCCACGATTTGACAAACTGCGCCATATGAAAATTATAATAATTATTGTAATTGCCTTCTTCGATGGGAAAGCAAATTGGTTGATATATGATACCCCAATTTTATTCTCATTGCTCCGAGTTTACATTTACATCATACGATAGGAAGTAAAATGCTTCTTTTAACTTTGTTTTGCGCGTATGGTAGGCAACCTAATTGAATCCTTTATATAGAGACATTGGCCTTGCGTGCCGTACGTTGTAACTAGACTGTTTTTCCAACGCAATTGTTGTTCCATACTGGATATTGACCTCGTAATATAACATGATAATGATCATTACGCCAGTGAATAAAGAATTATCAGTATACTAACGTTATGGGGACTTGTACTACTTTAAGATCTGGCCCGGGATTAACGGCCCCTGGAATTAATGGGAATATTCACGTCTGCCGAAAACCCGATCACCTATTCTTGCGGATCAACTTGACAGATAATGAGCGTGATAGAAGTAAAAAGATCTTCCACTGAGGAAATTGATGTTGAAGAGACGGAAATTGAGGTCACTCTTTTTTATACATTCGACTGTTTTGATAATAGCATAGGTGTTCACGCAATCTTTCTCTTAATAGACCTTTGAGTTTAAACAACTGAGTAAAGATATTACCAAAGTAAAGATCGCAGATAAAGAATTTGATCCGAAAGAATTTCCGTCTCGCGTATCATTATTCGCATTATCGAATACGTTTGGGTACTTTGTTGCTGCTTCCACGGAAGGTTAGTTCAGAAATGATTCATGTAAATAAAGTTCACGGTTGAATGAAGGCGTACAATTACATTGATAATCATAAATTCCTCAACATACAATCAGGGTTTATCTTCTCTACGACGAAAAATCTGAGAAGCTCTTTCATCGATGCTACAGGACCGCAACCAACGAAGAGATCAGAAAGGCCTCCCATACAGCAGGCTGTTCATGTTAAAATAAAAGATGGAAGGATACGCTGTCTACGATTGTCCTTTGATCAATTGACTATATGTGTTGCAGTATCGAACGCTGCGAATGCTGGTGGAGGACGTCTTTTACTTTACGATGCAGCGGCTTTATCTCGCGCTGTAATTTTTGTTTCCGATTGGCTTCATGTTTATTTCTTGTATTATATATAAAGTGACATTGGTACATTCAACAATACAGTGCAAGGATGTTGGCCCGTACCAAGAAATTTTCCTAGATTCAGACATTGTTGAGATTAGACCAAATACCGGTGACAAACCAAATATTATAGCTGTTCTGTTAATAACTGGGAGCGTGATGATTATCAGCTTTGAGTCTAATAATGCAAAAGTTATCTCGGAGATTAAGGGAGACGTAAGTTCAAGTATGTTATCAAATTATTGTAAACCGCTTCATATTACATGAGGGTTATCACTGTACATTCTAACATTCTTCTTGCGTCAAGTTTGTTGGTCTCCGAAGGGAAAGCAGATCGCGTGTGGAACGTATTCTGGGAAGATATTACAATACACACAAGACGCAATAGCCAAAGTTATATATCCACCACCGCCTAATTTACCGGAAAACCAATCAATGAAAGGTATTAACACAGAGTATATAGCCAAATACGATTATTGTTTCTGTTTAATGGTGTTCGCTATAGCTGATTACGTCAATGCTATCTTTAGTGTTGAATTTATTCTGGTTAGAAACTTTCATTTTTGTGGTAGTATATTATCCTGTGGTACAAGATGAAAATGCGGAAGCGATATCATACGCCGTAAAGCGAGAATCAGACAGAGCTAAATACAACAAGATACCAGCACTATGTCTTCCAGTCTTTGCAACAGAACGTGGACCTAACTTCTACATAGAAATATTTAGAGGATGGTAAGATAACAATTCTTATGAACCGTTCTGGAATAGAACTCGACTTAATTATCCAACAATTATGTAGGGATAGTAAAAGTCCATTTATCTTAGTATGCGCAAACACACAATCTTCCGAAATCGAACTGGTTGCATTCAATAACAATCGATGGACAAAATGGTTTATTGAAATTGAAACATCCCGAGCATCACTGCCATTATCAGATCTCCCAAACAATGACGAAGATACTCATATCGTCGGAATGGCTCTTGATTTCACTGATATTGATGAATGGATGATAAAGCTAGACGAAGACTCGACCTCATCCGTACCCCCTGCCCCAATACTATATATACTCAACGACGAAGATGATGCAATAGCCTATAGGTGTTTTAATAAAGAAGCATTTATTGAAAACGTATCGTATTCACAAATGGCGAAAGCGCAGCAGCTGCCAGAAGTCGGACCATCAAACAAGAAAGTTGAGCAAGGCGAGTACAGTTCCGTTGTGCAGCAAGACAAGGTTGACAAAACAAGCCAGCCAACGCTTCCACCAGAAACTCCCAAGGCACAAATTATTCCACCCCCTCAGATTGAACATGTTGGACAGAAGAAGAGTTCGCCATATTATGAACCTGCCATGGGACTGGCTCAACTGATAGACGTAGTGAGTATAATGTATTAAACTGTATTGATTCGCGATAAATGGATTATTTATTTTAAACTATAATCAAACTATCCCCGAACAGGTTCTCAAGAAACAAGAAAATACTCAAAGACACTTTGAAAGCAGGAAGAGGGCTGCTGCTTATCGTTTCTCTCGACCAGAATATGCTAGTGCAGAAGATTTAAATTGTTACGATTTGCGCAAAATTGAGAAACTACAAGATAAATTTAAACATCAATTAGAGATATTGGATGCAAACTCTAACCATCTGAAACAAGAAGTAGCCAAAATACGCACGTCTGTTTACAAAGGTATGATGGCTGAATGAGCATCCATCGATCTAGCAATGTTTCTCAACCCTCTTTTATTTTACAAAGGTAGGACTACGTCAGAAATGATTGAACTTCTTCGAGAAGCTATGGAAAGACCTACTACTGGAAGACTCGGTATAATCCAGGCACGCGTTAAAGGCCAGTTAGAAAAGAGTGTCAGAGTAAGTAAAATAGTGTATTATTTTGAATAAACTTGCCTTTTTTGAGACCATTGATCTAACTCTTGTAACTTATAGGTATTGGGCGAAAATATTCAATTGTTGGAAACTCAATTATCGGCTTTGAAAAAGCAAATTGCAGAGCGCAAGGGTAAAAAGATATTAACGTAAGGTTCAATTAAATATCAATACTTATTGTCGATTAGAATCTTTTAATCAAGTAATGGCTTTCACATAGGCCTCAGCCACTGGAATTTGTCGACCGTTCAATTTGTAATATTAGCAAGACTATATCAGTAAACTCTTGTGCAATCGATCGTTTAATAGAGGAGATGGGACAACTTGCAATCTCGCCCAATTCTGCAAAACCAACCTCCTCAAGTGTAATCCACCACAGTTTGCGAGGCAAGAAACGAGAAATCTCGACACCCGATAACATTATATTCCCTAATTCAGCGGCGGCACCGGTGGCAACGTTCGTAACGCGCGAATACAAATCTGATAAATTGCGTAATGCATTTGAAACACAAAGAAGTCAGCCAGTGCTGACGAAAATTCACCGTGAAATTTTCGAAACACGAACCGCAAGTGGAGTACATATCTCGCCAATCCGCACGCCTCCTAAAAGAACTATAACGCAACAACAGAGAACGCCATCTGCTAGACCTAGAACTCGATATGATCAACGGCGGAACATGGGATTTAATGTAATAAGCTGGGATAAAAAGGTGAAAGAATTTATTAAGAAAGACGAGAAAATATTAAATGAAGAGGAGGAAGAAGGTGAAGAAGGTGAAGAGTTCTATGATGAAGATGAGGAAGAGGATGAAGTAGTGGAGGAAGTGGTGGAGAAAGAAGTGGTGGAGAAAGAAGTGGTGGAGGAAGTGGTAGATGAAGAAGTGGAGGAGGAAGAAATGGTGGAGGAAGAAGTGGAGGAGGAAGAGGAAGAAGTGGTGGAGGAAGAAGTTGTGGAGGAAGAAGTTGTGGAGGAAGAAGTTGTGGAGGAAGAAGTGGCAGAGAAAGAAGTGGCAGAGGAAGAAGTGGCAGAGGAAGAAGTGGCAGAGGAAAAGGTGGCAGAGGAAAAGGTGGCAGAGGAAGGAGTGGTGGGGGAAGTGGTAGAGAAATTGGTGGAAGAAGAAGTGGTGGGGGAAGTGGTGGGGGAAGTGGTGAGGGAAGTGGTAGATGAAGAAGTGGAGGAGGAATATGTGGAGGAGGAATTGGTGGAGGAAGTGGTGGTGGAGGAAGTGGTGGTGGAAGAAGTGGTGGTGGAAGAAGTGGTGGAGGAAAAGGTGGCAGAGGAAGAAGTAGTGGAGGAAAAGGTGGCAGAGGAAGAAGTGGTGGAGGAAAAGGTGGCAGAGGAAGAAGTGGTAGGGGAAGTGGTAGAGGAATTGGTGGAAGAAGAAGTGGTGGGGGAAGTGGTAGAGGAAGAAAAGAAGGAGGATGCATATGAGGAAGAACAGAAAAAGTTGGAAGAAGAGAAATCAATTAGTGAAATGGCCTTCGGACAACTTGCAATCAGTCAACCAACATTTGGACAGTCTACAATTACTCAAACCACCTTTGGACAGACTACAATTACTCAACCTACCTTTGGACAGACTACAATTACTCAACCTACCTTTGGACAGACTACAATTACTCAACCTACATTTGGACAGACTACAATTACTCAACCTACATTTGGACAGACTACAATTACTCAACCTACATTTGGACAGTCTACAATTACTCAACCTACCTTTGGACAGGCTGCAGTTGGTCAACCTACCTTTGGACAGCCAGCATTCAGTCAGCCTACCTTTGGACAGCCAGCATTTGGTCAGCCTACCTTTGGACAGCCAGCATTTGGTCAGCCTACCTTTGGACAGCCAGCATTTGGTCAGCCTACCTTTGGACAGCCAGCATTTGGCCAACATGGATTTGGTCAGCCCGTATTTGGCCAACATGGATTTGGTCAACATGGATTTGGCCAGAATCCTACCCTTGCTGCTCAATCTTCTTTGAAAGCACCAACAACTGGTGGATTTGCTAGATATACAAGGTATGGCATGATATTGTCTTTATTCATACTTAATACAATATGAGTTAACGTCTTCCCCTTAATGTTTAGTAATAGTAAACTTGGAGGCTTCGGTGCACCCTCAGCACCAAGGTTAGTCAATGAAATAGTATTTATTAACTGTTGAATTTGTAGTCTATTTATATCTATTTGATCATATATTAATATCTTTCTTTTTCCAATACAGTGATAATACAAACACACCCCAAGATTCTCGTTTTACACAGCATCGAGGATAATTTAGATGTAATATAATGGATGTATTTGTTAATGTAATGTGACTTAAATATATTCTTACTGTCATCTTATTAATTTCTACTATATAAGCCCCAATCTATTTTTTAAACAGCTGGCATGAATATCTTTGCCGTTCAAGCGTATTCCCATTACACTAAATGATTCGTCGCATTTGTAACATGTAGCGCATCAGCACAGAGATGTTTAATTGCTGAATAAACGCGGTGTTTGCAATTGTAAACAAGCGCTCATTTAATCAACTCTTCTTTTAAGAACGTCTGTTACAACGTTAGCTAGCGTCCACGGTAATGCAGAACAAACGCAAGACTGTTATCCACACTTATAATTACTTATATTCTATTCAAAGGACAGAAGTGTTTAGGACTATATGCTAGAAAACGTATCGGTATATATGCTGGATTGGGGATTTCCAAGTGTGTGAAGTTGTTTGATGCACGAGTAAATATACGTTTATCGAGCGTTTGCCGTCGATTACATTTGCGATTATTGAGTAACAGTAAGGACCTTGTAATAGCAAAGAAATTTCTATTAAATATTCTCTGCTGATCGTATATTTCTCATCATAGGCCTTAAAAACAATGCAAAATGATCTACAAATCGTCACGTAACAATTGTCTGCGTTATCTCTGTTTATTACATAATCACGAACTATTTCATATAAATAAAGTAATATATGACGTTGATTGTTGATGTGATAAGGGGGCTCATAACATATGGCCCTTATTCATGGCGACCTTTTTTTCATATGAGGGGGCCTTATTTACGGCAGATACAACTTGCTTCAACGGCGTCCGGAGTGACATCATTAATTCCGAGAAGACATTGTATTACAAACAATTAGTCACACAGATCCTTGTATAAATAGACACTAGCGCGACTTGAATCAATTTCATATTTATTTTTAATTACGTATTCTTCCGCAACAATCATGTCTGGACCATTTGGAATTCCATTGGGAGTATTGACTGATTCTTACAAAGCTTCTCATGCTTTTATATACCCGCCGGCTCTGAAGGTACCATTTTTTTCTCGGAAGGCAAGATAGCGCATTACTAGTATGACTTACCGGAATTCTCTTGTATTGGTGCAAACAAACTATGATAGACAGTTGCTTATGGGGAGTTTCGTTGCGGATATGAACGAGACCGGGACGACACACGTCTTGTATTTTACGGGATTAGATTCGTGTACGTATCAACTGCTTTGGCACCATACAGCGTTATGGATATAAACATTGGCGCGCGAAATATTCATATGTAATCATTTTCCATTCAGAATTGAAAACTATATTGCAAAAAAATGGACGGTAGAAGATGTTGACTATGCAGACCAGTTTTATGCAACGCATAATGCTGGGTACACTCCATTTCCGTACCCAAGGGATCTTTTCCTAAAGGTTGACAACCGTTTCAAACTTGTTTTATATAATTATTATCATTAACTACTTTTCTTGTTCTCATTGATTTTCCAGTTTATAAACGAGAACGAGGGATACTTTCCAGTGAAAATAGAAGCACTCCCCGAGGGTACCGTCTGCCATGCTCATACGCCAGTATATCAGGTCACTGCTGAGAAAGAATATGCTCCTTTGGTTACATTTATTGAAACACTGTTGACGATGGTTTGGGTATGTGAAGAACAAGGACAAAGAAAGAAAAGAAGCTATAAAGATTCGTTTTAAAATACCTTTTTGTTTCCATATTAGTATCCCACGACAGTCGCAACGCTTTCGCGCAGAGCAAAGGATCTGATTCAGCAGGCGTATGACGAAACGGTTGATGAGGATGGATATGCATCTCTAGAGAGGTAAACATTTATTGTAAATAATCATAATGGGTTTTTATATTACTAACTAATACAACCTCTCAATGTGACGTTCTCGTTATATAATAATTTGTACATTTATGTAAACAGTCGATTACATGATTTTGGTTTTCGTGGATGTACATGCCTAGAACAGTCGATTATTGGAGGTTCCGCTCATCTTGTAAGCTAATTTTAAAGTTACATAATTGATACATAATACTATTTTACAAACTAAATTTGTTCTATTTACTAAAAAGTTAAATTTTACGGGTACCGATACAATGAGTGCAGCTTTCTATACACAGTTCAATCTTAATAATGGCAAACCCATTGCGACATCAATCCCCGCAACAGAACATTCTGTTATGACTGCGCACAAGACTGAACGGGTACATATAAGTTATGTGCCTCACAACGGTGTTTCGTTTATATTGGCTGACAATGTTTTCTGGTATTAGGCGGCAATTATGCAGATGATAGAACATTTTGGCTCGGGGGTATTTGCCTGCGTTATGGATTCTTATGACTATGCAAATGCATTAGAGAAGGTTTTGCCATCTATCGCATCGGCCAAAATTGGAAAGGGTGGCTACATGGTGTTGAGACCTGACAGCGGTGATCAAGCTGAGGTTGTTTTAATGGCATTGAGGTAGTATTCTATCGTTCTAGTAGTACATTAAGCACATAATTTCTGACGTTAACTAATTAAAACTGTGTGGGTATTATGGCTTCAGAAAAGCTGATGAAGTTTTCGGTAGTTATGTCAACAAGAAAGGATACAAGGTCATTCGGGGATGCGGTGTGATTCAGGGTGACGGTGTTACGACAACCTCTTTGAAAAAAATCATTTATGCTGTAAAAAGCGCTGGCTATTCTCTTCAGAATGTTGCGTACGGAATGGGAGGCGGTTTACTTCAGGTATGACACGGGTTAAACGTTGCTATCAATGCAATTTGCTAAGTAGTACCCTATATAATTTAATTCCAGAAATTGAACAGAGACACAATGAGTTTTGCAACAAAACTCTCACACATTACATACAAGGACGGCACAGCACGGTAAGCACTATGCTTTATAGACCACTTTGTGTTAGGAAAGTCTTTACAACAGTCTGTTGGGTTCGTAATATACTCGGAAGCATATTTAAAGTTATATCACCTGATACCACAGCGATGTGATGAAAACACCAAAAACTGATAATAGTAAATTCAGCTTGCCTGGCGAACTTATGGTCGCTAGGAATGCCGATTGGGTAGGATATATTTATTTACTTATTAATTATCTGGTTGTTTGTTTTTTTCAAGTTGCTGAGCGCTAAATCAATTATATACGCAAATTTGCTCGATGTTAATAGGTTCCCATTATTTACCCGAAAGATACGCCATCAATCCCAAGTGAAAGTAATCTCTTGAAACTTGTCTATAATTATGGCGAGCTGTGTTCGTGGGAAACCTTCGACGATGTACGGAAACGAGTAGCAGATCAATGGAATAGGATGCCTAAGCACTATGATAATATTAGTCCAGCGTTGAAAGAAAAAATTAGAAAAATGGTTGAGAGCAGAAAGAGCGCTGACGAGTTGCAGTTGGGAAGTTAGACAGGGATGCTTGATAGCTCATAACATACTTGTTGGATTCCTACTGATGGGCTTCAAGCAGCAACCGCATATTTATCATTATTCCTAATTTATACAATACAGAATTTGAATTGCTTTTCTGATTTATATGGACGTTACATTAGTCAGTACCAACTGGACCAGCTGATAATGATCTGCTTCATTTGACCAAATACTAACATTTACTGTTATCGCTATGCAACTTAAGCACTCTTCTGTCTATAGCAGGCAGTCGAACGAATTCCAAACACTGATCAAGGCCCTCGTCACAGCCAATGTCTCGACTGCAATTCATAACGTGATATTGTCTAATTCGATGCTTCCGAGTTAAATATCCTTTTTTATAATTCAAACACGTGATCAAAGCAATCCACTATTCTATGATACTTTCATAATAATAATAGCCAGCAAATTGACAATGCTCTTGTTTCGAGTAAAGCTTTATGTTACGAGACCCTTGCCTCGAAAATTAGCCCAAGAATATTATATTTGGTCTTTCCAACCATGACGAATTTTGTTTACAGTCGCGTATGGCTGGGTATGGTAGACCGACCTATCGACTTACGAAGGCCATGTTAAAACTTTGTTACATTACGTAGAGTAAATAAATGATAACGAAAATAAATATAAAAGGCAATCGTTAGACAGTAAGAACTTCCGATTCATCAGAAATAAATTATATTAATTACTGTTTGCAATACAACAGCTATACGACTTAATTACCAATCTACGGATTGTTTGTAATACAACATCTATACGACTTAATTACCAAGCTACGGATTGTTTGCAATACAAACACAAATTATCTAATTATTGTGTACAAACAATAAAATTTATCAACCGCTACTAAAATAGTAATGATGTTCTCTAGAGTAATTAAGTGGGACCAGACAATCGTGTGCATTTAGAGAGGGTGTACATTTAGAGAAAATGGTTATGTGTGTAATTAATAATATTATTGTTATTATTACACAGTCAACCCCGTTAATCCGAACCCGTTTAACCGAAGGACTAAGTAAAACCGCTAAACCGAAGATAAGTCAAGATTGTTTAATAGTCTTATCTGTTCACCTGTGTCTTCTTGCTGTAACAAAAATAAGCGTACATTTTCTAAGCTTTTTAATGCACTACTTGCACTAATAGTAGTAATCTCCTGTCATTTCTGGCATTACCCTCTCCTTAAACGTCTCTGTGATTTCTTTAATAAGTTGGTTATCATCGGGAATATCGTACACAATATCCTCTTCAGGAATACACAAAAACTCGTTAACCTGCATTGGATCCGAGAGGTGAAGCTTATTGATTATTTTACTCAAATCATCAATTGTTTGATCATCTGTAAGGTGTTTGTTATGGATACACTCCGCTGTAATTTTATCCTAACTACTATAACTATAGATCGAATAACTTGAAGACTATCCCATCTTCATATCTTGTATAAGCATACCATGAAAAAACAACTATGAAAAACAACCACGAATAATCAACGGGTACTAGCAACTGGTACTACAACAGTAATCAATAATTAATACTCGCAAGATAATTTTGATTCAAATTTCG